GGTCCTGGTCCGGTACGGGCGCGACACTGAGGGTTGCGATCCGTTGCCGGTCATGAAAAAAGACAAAAAGGAAAAAAAAAGTGCATTATGAATACTATTTTATATTTATGCATTTATTTTTTAAAAAAATGATGTTAGGGAAAACACAGGGAAAGTTTATAGAGATAAAGAATACTGGCTTATTATGGTTACATTCATAGAATTTATTATTGCCACTTACAAATAATTGCTTAGAATTCTGTAGTTCTGAGTTCTGTTATTCTTTTGAAACTTTCATGTACAGAGTCCTGTCTTATTCTTCTTTTAGGGACCCTAATCCTTAGTTTAAGAAATAGTTATCTAAATATAATAATAACAAGAATTTTTTTAATTGAGATTCCTATCTAAATATTTTATAGCTTTATTCTCAATGTATGAAGCGAAAGGTTTCTGCTTAAGTTTAGCTAACAATACCTCATTCTAGTTACTTTTCTATTTGATGTCACATACATGTATTTGATCTGAATTAAATAATTTAAAATTCAATTATAAATTTATTTTGTCTCCCCAAATTTTCATATAAAATATGTTTTGTTTTGTTTTTTCTGCTACTAAACTCACTGAAGGCAGGGAACTAGTCTTCCTATTGGTAGAATGGAGAAGGTGCTAAATAATGCTCATTGATTACAACATTTGCTAAAAATATTTTAAATATTTTAGTAATAATTATATCTAACATCCACTGAATCCATACCATATGCCAAGCATTATGCTAAGTACTTGGCCAATATAATCTTACTTAAACCTCATAACAATCCTGAGGTAAATAACACTATTATTGGCAGTTTATAGATGCAGAAACTAAAACTTCAATAGTTCACTAACCTGCCTAAAGTTACACAGCCAATAAAATGTCTGAACCACACTCAAACTCTTGCCTGTCCAACACCAAAGCCCCTGTGAACTCCCTCTGAATTAAAGTTTATTATCATCAGAGCAAAACAAATCCAGTTTTATACTAAAGCCCACTTCTATCACAATCCTTGCTCATCCAGGCCATTTACAAAGAGGGGAAGGCAGAGGGCAAAGTAAAGTACTCAAAGTGTTTATGCAGGGTGAGATCAGGCCAGAACTTTATAAATTGGAATTATTCTCCAATATCTAAGTTCTGTTACATTTTAATTTTACCTTAGGTAATAACTACACAATACCATTTTAATTCCCTTAAGTTAGTTTGAATCTATACAACTTACGCGCACTTATTTTTGGTTTTCCTGAAGCAAAAACTTGGACTGAATGCTGATCCGCATAACACCCAGTGAGAGTGTAATCTAAGATCCTAAAACGAAGCTAGAAAAAGGAAAGAAATGTACCAAATTGAGGTGATTTTTTGGTTAAAAATGATGGTCATATTTTTTTCTCTTGACACAATTTTAGGGAATTTATCTCACCCAGTTCACAAAATAAATACCACAAATATTAAACTTGAATTATGTGTGTGTGTGTGTATACATGCACATATATGTACTACACACTTTTTTTTTCCCTTTGCATCAGCGCAATTTCTTTGTAAGATTGCCATTACGAAGTGCTTAACACATACCAGGCACTTCACTAACATGCACTTTAGTTGACACTGCAAGGTATCCCTATTTTATAAAAGAGGGAACTGAGGTTCAGAGATGAAAGCAATTAGCATCCCAGAATGCAAGTAGTGGAACTGACTGACTACAAAAGCTGTTGTTCCTTCCCCTATGCTGTCTGGTATCTGGTATATTTTTTTTTATCCCAAGGGCTACATGGTTGTGATATATTTCAGATCATAATTCTTTTATAGGCAGGAACATATACACTCTCCAGTAAAACATCAGTTTATCTTGTGTTTGGGGGGAATGAGCTGCTGTACTTAATTTTCCAGAAAACTGAAACTTAAATTTTACAGAAATAAGCTTAGAAGTTACCCCTTACCTCACCTAGAAAGCTTTTCTAAAATGTAATCCATAGTTCCTGGACTGCATTGATTATGTGGGGTTACCACTATAAATGCCAATTACAATATTATTCTGTAATAGTGAGCCAGTAGTACTTTCTCTGAAGGCACAGTGCTAGGGTGCCTTTAAGTCACCATGAAATTCACATGAACTATAAGAAGGTATATGTTTTACAGAGTTCCAGTCTCCTTTTGCTGTGGTTCTCCTCATCTCTGCTGCTAAATGCTCCTGATTTTGCAGTATCTTGATACCTTTTCTATACTATTCCCTTATCTCCCTTCACTGCAAATTTCTCCAGTTCCTAACTTTCTCCTTTTATTGCCAAACTAACTGATCACGTGCATAGAATGTGATTTAGGATGTGATGTAATTTTCAGATCTCAGCAATTATGTTCCTGTTGCAACACAAATTATCTCTGAAAAAAATAAAGGGCTTTTGCTTGCTTGTTTGGTATAATTCTGAATTCTGGAAGTTATGGCAAGGCTGATTTCCACATAATTGAGATTCAATCAACACAAATATGTATCACATGCTTTCAATGAACTGTAACTGGTTAGGATGTAATGGATGTAATGGAAATGAATAGAAAAATCATAATCCCTACCTTTGAAGGACATATAATGTGGTAAAGTTTAACATTTTTTCTGAGAAATATCTGAAGCAGAAATTTTTATAATAATCCTTGAAACAAAGTTTGTGGACATAGTTGAAGCCAAGACAGAAGAAATGAATTATCTCCAGTGTACTACTGACTTCACTACCACACTTTCCTTCATTGACTTTATGTGTAGATTTCAATCTCTTTAATTTCTTTGATACCATTCTATTTAGATTTTCCTGCTACCTTTCTGATCACTTCTTCAATTGACTTCACTGTTTCTTCTGAATCTTCCCCCTATTTTCTTTTATCTTTTTCTGATCTTATGCATTTCCACTGCCTCAACTATTTTTTCCCTGTGGATAACTACTAAATCCTTATATACAGCTGAGCTCTCTCTTGAGAATCAAGCTTTAGATTTTTAGCTACCCACTGGACACTTACATCAGGATATGTTGCTTTTAGCAGCAACATATATTATATGAAGTCCATTCCTTCCCAACATTCTCCACATCAGTATTTTCTTCTAAGTATATTCATCCATTTAGCAAATATTTATGTGCTAGGTACTGGATTAAATGTTGGAGATAAAACAATGAATGAAAGATTCACATAGCCTCTATCTTCTTGGAGCGTCAAGTCTGGTTTAAGTTACATAATTTTTTAAACAACACCATCTGTGACATAACTATTTCTTGTCTCTATATTTAACTAGTGGTCAAAGCTTTTCTTTTATCATGGCTCTCATAGAAGTCCTTCCTTTTTCTCCCTTCCTTTCTCTTTTGGCTGCTAACACACTAGCTCAGCATCATTATTACCTTTAATATGGCATATTAACACTATAGCTATACAATGGTTTCTTTGTCTCTTGCTTTTTCACTCACTTTCCTCACATCCATTCCAGATGGACATTCAAAAAGTATCACTTTGTGAAATAACACACTCCCCTACTCCAAAAATACATCATCAACCAAAGGAATAAAAGTCAGATTCAAACCCTCTAAAATCCAAAGCTAAATAACATCCAGCCTTATGTAGTACTACTGTTTCTATCACTGGTTCCTAAGCATGCCTTGTTTATCCTTCTTCACTCTCTTGAGTCATTTCTTTATCTAAACAAATGTTAGTCAATCTTCAAGGCTTCATATTCATGATTATCTAGGTCTCCGAGTTTTGCTTAAGCTCCATCTTCATTGCAAAACTTTTTTGGTCACTTTAGTCAGAGATGCTCACTCTATCCTTGAAACACCAAAGGCAGTTAGCACTGATCAATTGCTGATGTGAATCACTGAAAAATCCCTATAAGGCAAGGACTACATCTATATTTGTTGTATACATATCTTGAATTTGATAAGTAAGGGCTGGGTAGAACTAGGTTAAGTTAGGGTGTTTAGGTTATACTTGTTTCCCTTAAAATTTTTTAAGTATTAAGTGAAAAAAAAAGGGACTAATACTAAACAAAAAGAATCAAACAAAAATCCACAAAAGGGCTTAGACCAGACAAAAAGAATAGAATTCCAAAAAACTGCTGAAAAACATAAAAAATCAATTAGATATATGCAATTTAGAAACAAAGGAAGGGGTTCTAATGTAGTGAGCCACAGAAATATGTTCACCTTTAAATATGCTGTACCTCCAATACAAATTGGGTCAAATGGCTGCTTCTCATGGCTCTTGGCTCCAAAGGTTACAGTTCCAGAAAGACTAATTTCCATTGATTTGGGGAACTTCTGGCCTAAAAACACAAATACACCAATCAACTATTCTAAATTAAGTAGATTCTATAGCAAATGAAAAAAAAAAA